CTCCAACATGATAACGAGGGGCATGCTTCCCCTTTGCCTTCACCACGATTGTAAATTTCCTGAGCCGTCCCCAGGCATGAGAAAATGTGAGTCGATTAAACATCTATTTAAAAATAAATTGCCCAGTCTCAGGTATGTCTTTATAGCATTGTGAAAATAGACTAATACAGGGGGCCTCACTATGTTGCCCAGACTGGTCTCAAATTCCTGGGCTCAAGAGTTCCACTTGCCTTGACCTCCCAAAATGTTAGGATTCCAGGCATGAGCCATTGCACCTGGCCTCTTATACTTACTTTGAATCAATTTGTTCATCAGAAAATTGGGGCTCATGCTTCATGAGGTGGTTAGGAGAAAACAAATCAGGTAATATGTGTAAGTTATTTAGCACTATAACCTACACTACATGCCTCGTAAAGCCTGAATCTTTCACTTTCCTTTCGGACTTGTCCGTCTGGTGTTGCTGTCAGATTCTACGGCACTCAAAAGAAGAAAAAAGGCATTGTAAAGTCTTTTTTTAGAAAGATAAAAATATATCTCCTCCCTTTGAAAAGTGGAACAAGTGTAATTGATATAAACACGACTTGCAAAAATTGATACTAAATTTTTGTTTTCATTTTGAAAACCTTTTTATTTTGGAATTATTTTCATATAGAAAAGTTATACAGACAGGGCAGAGTTCCTATATACCCTTACCCAGTTACATTTATTGTTAACATTATATATAACTGTGGTACATGTGTCAAAACCAAGAAATTAACATTGGCACATTCCTATTAAATAAAACTACAGGCTGTAGCTAAATTTTACCAGATTTTCCACTAATATCCTTTTTCTGCTCCAAGATCCTACATTGCATTTAGTTGTCATGTCCCCTTAGTCTCTTCTGTGACAGTTTCTCAGTCTTTCTTTGGCTTTTGTGACCTTGAGGATTTTTTGACTCATACTGGTCAGGTATTTTGTCAAATGTCCCTCAGTTTGGGCTTATCTGATATTTTTCTCATGTTTAAATTGGGGTTATGGGTTTTGAGAATCCCTCAGAGGTAAAGTTCCCTTCTCATCAGAACATATCATATCAGGTTGTCCATAACATCAGCAGAACTTACCACTGCTGATGTTGACCTTGATCACTTGGATAATATGGTATCTGCCAAGTTCTTATGAAAGCTGTTATTTTCCCCTTTCTGTACTTTTTTCTTTGGAAGCTTCACTAGTCTAGCCTACATTCAAATGGGGGAGGGAGAGTGAGGCATGATGGCTTACACCTGTAATCTCAGCACTTTGAGAGGCTGAGGCAGGAGGATTGCTTGAGCCCAGGAGTTTGAGATTAACCTGGACAATATAGTGAGGTGCCATCTCTTTAAAAAAATTAGCTGGGCATGGTGGCTTATGCCTGTAGTCTCAGCTACTTGGAAGTGTTGAGATGGTATAATCGCTTGAGCCCAGGAGGTTGAGGCTCCAGTGAGCCAAGATCACACCACTGTACTCCAGTCTGGGCAACAGAGCAAGACCCTGTCTCTAAAAAAGATGGAGATGGAGGGTCACTCCTACATCTTGGAGGGGTTAGTATCTATATATTTGGAATTATTCTGTAAGGAGGATTTGTCGCTTCTCTCCATGTATTTATTAGTCAATCGTTTATCAGTAGAGACTCAAGTATTTTTATTTCATACTTTGGGTTACAATCCAACACCATATTATTTATTTTGTTGCTCAGATTGTCCAGTTTGGTCACTTGGAGCTCCTTTGAGAGTGGCTTATGTGCCCCTTTGACATGCTGCCATCCTTTTATTTTGTTTTGAGTATACTAGCTTTGATGTACAACTTGGTTTTCTTCCCCATCTATCCACCAAAATTGCTTTAAGGTCCTTCAGATGACAGTGGTTTCCAGATTGTCTACTTTTATCTCTAGTTTATCAGACCTCTCTGTAACATTTAATATTGTAAATCTTGTTCCTTCAAATTCTATTTTATTTGAAAAATTTACTATGAAATTCTTAAACAAAAACAAAAGTAGAGAGAATAGCATACTGCATCTCCATGTATCCATCAGTGAGCTTCAGTAATTCTCAACATTTTGCTAATCTGATTTCAACTGCTGCCTTTTCCATGCCCTGTCACTGGAGCACTTTAAAGAAAACTCCAGATATCATATCAGCTTAACCTGTAATAGTTCAGTGTCTTTAACAGATAAAAACGTAAAAAAACCCATAAAACAATTATTACACCTAACAAAGTTAATAAGTCTTTAATATCTTTTAACACTCAGTCTATACTCAAATTTCTCCAATGATCTCAAAGTGTTTTAATAATCAATTTGTCCAAATTAGGATCCATACAAGTTCCACACCATATCCTGTAACATCTCCTCGCCCTTGACAGAGTTTTGCTCTGTCACCAGGCTGAGTGCAGTGGTACAATCTGGGCTCACTGCAACCTCTGCCTCCTGGGTTAAAGGGATTCTCCCACCTCAGCCATTCTGACTAGCTGGTACTACAGGTGCGTGCCACCATGCCCAGCTAATTTTTGTATTATTAGTAGAGACGGGGTTTTACCATGTTGGCCAGGCTGGTCTAGAACTCCTGACCTCAGGTGACCCGCCTGCCTTGGCCTCCCAAAGTGCTGGGATTACAGGTGTGAGCCACTGGGATTACATCTGAGCCATCCTAGGCTGGTTCATCACCTGGCCCAAGTCACCAAGCCATGGGATGTCTATTTCTTCAGTGTCTCTGGAATGAGTCCCTTCTTCTCGTTTACTTAGTCTGAGTTCTAAAATTCAGACAAAGAGTGCAAATGCATTATCCAGAAACACACGTTCTCAAGTCCAGCAGGGACTAGACCCTAACCTCATGCTCAGCTCTACATTCAGCTCAGCTCCTGTGCTTTGAATACATGTACCTTCCACTTCCTGTGAATGTGGTTGTTAGAGCCAGATTTCAGCATGCTGGAGCAGCTAATGGCAGTGAAGTTGGGAGTCAGAATATCTGGATTTGAAGACCACATTCATCACTTGAAATGAACTTGGTTATGTTAGTTAATTTCTCTGTGCTTCAGTCTCCTCATCTGCAAAATGAGAATAATATTCCTGCAACACATATCTGATATTCCCAAAGCTCTGAAAACTGGAAGAGTTTTTCTTGTTTTAAAATTTGTTTGGCAGCACAACCTGACTTGACTTAATGATTTGATGACAAAACCTGAGCTGGAGGGAATTGAGGATGTTTATGGTGTGTATTTATCCTACTTAGAATATTCTTCTCTTTATAGTCCAGCTATCTTGGTGGCAGGCTACCCTAGCCCACTGGGACAAGTTCTAGTATAAACTGTTTTATTTTTCAAAAGTAAGAAAATATCTACATTCTGAAACACACATAATCTAAGGGTTTTGGAAAACAGGTTTTGTACCTGTAATAGCTACCTCATAGGTTTGTCATAGATGGATTGCTAAAGAAATTCGTATTTGTAAAGCAATTAGAAGAGTGTGAGGCTTACAGTAAGCCCTTTTTAAGTGTTTGATAAGGTACATATTTCCTGTAACATTTAACCCTAGAAATGAGGTGAAAGATAAACTATTTTGTCAGAACAGAGTTCGATAAATTTAGGGGCCTCCATCAAAGCTGAGTTACTACCATTACTTTTCTGTTCTAAGACAATCAACATTAGACAGATAGAAAAACCCCTTTTGAGTGGCGTCAAAACCTCTCCCTACTCAGAACTAACCGCTATTCTGAAGTTGGGGTATATGCGAATCTTTTCCATGCATGTTTCTAGATTTTAGTACATACGCATGCATGGTGTGTATTTTTAAAACTTACGGCTAAATGTTTTCATGCTATACCTACACAACCTCCTTTTTCACCTTGACACTACCATTTTCATATGTGTAGCCTCTCTCAGTTCTCTTAAGGGCTCCTGTAGTATGCCATCAGGTGAACATGCCACAGTTTACTTACCCATGTCCTGTAAATGGACACTTAATTTATTTCCAGTTGTTTGCTATTATGTGGCAGTGCGCATTCTGTTGTGCACCTCCTTGTGCCCACACGCAAGAGTGTCTCTCGGGCATATACCCGACAGTAGAATTGCTGGGTCATATGTGCCTGTTTTAACTTTACAAGAAAAATGCCACTGTGCTCTTCAACAGGGTGGACGAACCTACACTCCCACAGGAATGTGAGTTCCCATCTCTCTACGTCCTTGCCACAT